AGAGTATGGAGGGATGGACACTGGAAAGAGGTAACTATGGGGAGGAAGTGGGAGGGGAGCGGTTGCATTGTGGTAAACTGTGGTCAATGATATGGGACAAAGTATATGTGAACTGCTGTATGGAAAGTGAATTTGCTCTGTAAATCTTCACCCAAATCACAATAAATAATAATAATAATAAATGTGCTGGGTTTTGTTTGTATACATCTAAGTCTTTTAATTTAACACACAATGGTGCTTCCTATAAGACATTTCACAAATATTCACTCATTTATTATTTATAACAACCCTATGAGATTGGTAGATGAAGAAAGTGAGACACAATTAAATGACTTATCCAAGGTTGCATAGCTTAGAAAGTGGCAGAGCCAGGGTTCAACTTGAGGTGGTCTGGATCCCAAGTCAATGTGCTTGTTACTGTTGTTAGGTGCCATCGAGTCAGTTCTGTGCCACAGAACGAAACCCTGCCTGGTCCTGTGCCACCCTCAAAATCAGTGCTATGCTTGAGGCCATCATTGTAGCCACTGTGTCAGTCCATCTCATCGAGGGTCTTCCTCTTTTATGCTGACCCTCTACTTTACCAAGCATGATGTCTTCTGCAGGGATTGGTCCCTCCTGACAACATGTCCAAAATATGTGAGACAAAGTCTGGCCATCCTTGCTTCTAAGGCGCATTGTGGCTGTACTTCTTCCAAGACAGATTTGTTCATTCTTCTGGCAAACCATGTTATATTCAGTATTCTTCACCAGCACCAATTCTTCTGCGGGCTTCCTTATTCACTGTCCAGCTTTTGCATGCAAATGAGGGGATTAAAAATACCATGAGTTGGGTCAGGTGCAACCTCAGTCCTCAAAGTGACAGTCTTGGCTTTTTATCAATGCTTAGTTACTAAAAATGTTACCTTTGGTTACAATGTATTCGCCATCTTATATATTATTCCTCTTCCTCCACTGGGTATTTGAATTTACTACTCATCTTGAAGGAGCTCTGGTAGCATAGTGCCTAAGGCACTTGACTGCTAACCAGAAGGCTGGCAGTTCAAACCCACCAGCCACTGCTCGGAAGGAAGGTTGGGCAATCCTACTTCTGTAGTGATACTGCCTCGGAAACCCAAGGAGGAGTCGCTATGAGTTGGGGCCAACTCGACGGCACATAACAACAACAACACTCATCTTGAAGGCACAGCTCAAGTAACACTTCCTGCATGAAGTCCTTCCTTAGCCATTCCAGCCCATACTCAGTGTTTACCCCGCTTATTGGGTAATCTGTCCCTGCCCATACTTCTCTCTGGCTCTGGCACTACATCAGATACTATTTATAATTTAAATAAGCAGTATATGTCATCTCCCCAACTAGGCAGTGACCACTTCCTATACTTTTCCTATCTCCCAAAGCCCCTTTCACAGTACAGTCCAAGGGGCAAGTGCTCAATAAATACGTGTTAAATGAATATGTAACCCAAATCTTTGAAAAAAATGTTCTGCATGGGGTCCTGGTTGGTGCAAAGGGTTAATTAACTGGGTTGTTAACTGAAAGGGTCCACCCAGAGGTGACTCAGAAGAACAGCCTGGCAATCCACTTCCATTGAGAACCCTCAGGAGATAGGTCTACTCTGGCAATACACGCTCGGGTTGACAGGAGTTGGAATTGAGTTCATAGTAACTGGTTTTAGGTTCTGCATACAGCCAAAACGTATTTCCAATTTAGCTTACAAGTTCAAAACATCACACATTCAAAACGGCGCCTCATCCTACTCTTCCACCAAATTGTGAAGCTGTGCTTAGGATTCCTCTCACAGAAAGGCTGTGAAGCACAGACTTTTTTTTGCCAGCATCTGGCTCTCAAGCACGGAAGCCATAATAGCAGGAGTCGAACTGCAGCACCTGGCACAGCATCCAGGACACAGAATTGCACAGTATAAAAGCGATATGGAGCGGGGCAGAGCACTGAGTGTTCACTTGTCCCGGAAACCCGGAGGGGCGGGGTGTGGCTGGCGGCAAATTGTAAAAGCTGGCAGTCTACTCCGGATCTGGAAAGCCAGGTTACCAGTCTCGGATCTACGGAAAGACTGGAAATGGAACACATCCAGAGTCCGAAAGGCTTAGTATCTTAAGCTAGTGGCTAACACAGAAGAACAAAGTGCAGTGCTGGGTCCCTGCTCTGTGACATGCTGTTATCAGTTCCTGCCATTGAAACAGTTGCTGAACTAGTCCTAACTGCCTGGCAAACCAGACCCAGGAGTCCCTCTCTGGACAGCCACTGCGTTGTTATCAACTCGCGGGAACTCGCAACTAGGGGCCAAGGTCTTTGCAAGTGAGCAGTTGCAGCTCACGCATGCGTAATCGTCTCGGTTTCCCTCAGAGCGTCTCGCAGTGCAGGCCAATCGCAATGCAGCATTGACTGCGACGCCTGCGCAGTAGGTCTCCGGTCGCGGTGCCAGTTCCTAGGCTCTAGCACGACGACTGGAACTGTCCAATGCCCACGCGGAGCCGGGAGGCGGAGCCTGCGTAGTGTGCGTGGGAAGGGAGGGGCGCGGGCAGGCGCCCAAGGTGTTTGACCCGGCGGTCGGTGAGTGAGAAGAAAGGGAAGGAGGGGTAGGTTTGGAGGTGCTGTTACCGCTGTTGCCGAAATGTTCCGGTGTGGAGGCCTGGCGGCGGGTGCCTTGAGGCAGAAGCTGGTACCCTTGGTGCGGACAGTGTGCGTCCGAAGCCCGAGGCAGAGGAACCGGCTCCCAGGTGACTGACTGACCCATCCCGAGGCACCCCCCCAGGTCCGGCGCCCCAGGGCTAGGCTCCGATGCCTTGCAGCCTTTCTGCCCTCCTCCTGCAGAAAACTTAACACACCTACAGTTGCTTGAATCCCGAATTGGGATCCAAACTGTTGGTTTCGGAAAGCAGAGGAATCCGGCCAAGCCGAGCTGACCTTCATGGGAATTACACCCCAGTAGTCGCGTGAGGATGGCGCAGGGCCGGGTTGTATTTCGTTCTGTTGTACATAGAGTCACTACGAGTCGGAACCGACTGGAGGACACCTAACAACGATCACAGTCGGCATGAGGCCTCTTCAGGGAGGGTTAGCTGTTCAGGGATGACAGGACAGCCAGCCATCGCGTCTTGTCCCATACCGCCTCCCCGCCACCCCACCCTTATTAGAGCAATGAGGTCAAGTAGAAAGACTATCGGGTACTGACTGTGAGACTTTAAGCAGGACGTTTAAGCCCTATGCCTAGTTTTCTTCTGTAATGGGGATGTTATTTGCCTTACCTTGCAACCCCAGATGAGATCCATAGATCTGAACGGGGTGTGACACACAAACAGTGCCGGGCAAGTAAGGAGTCAGTCAGTTGTGCACTGTTGTTGTTGTTATGTGCCGTCAAGTCGGCCCCGACTCATAGCGACCCCTCCTTGGGTTTCCGGGGCAGTATCACTATGGAAGTAGGATTGCCCAACCTTCCTTCCGAGGAGTGGCTGGTGGGTTTGAACCGCCAGCCTTCTGGTTAGCAGTTGTGCACTAGACCCCAAGAATGTTGGCCCAGGATCAATTTGAGATGTCTGGTCATTGCAACTTTTGGTGGCCTTAAATGCTTCAAAGGAATGGTTTGCAGATAGTGTTGTATTTGCCCTCTGTGAAGTTGTATCATCAAATTTTAGAGCTGGAAGGGGTTTTCTGGTACTCACTCATTTTATAGGTAATAAACCAAAGCACAGAGAGCTGAAGTTTCTTGCCCCAGGACACATAGCTAATTCACAGGCAGAGCCAAGGTTAGTTTGCCACTCTATAGGCCACTAATCCTCATGCCACACTGCTAACTAAAGCTTGACCTCAAAGGCTAAGAATGAATTCAGTTCCCCTCCTGATTAGCCCATTGAACATCAGATATCCATGAATTTATCTGAGCATAGTCTGAGCCTGCTTACATTTTTAACCTGCGGAGCTTCATGGTGTAGTGAGTTATCCACCTGTAGGAGGTGTATTTTTTTCCCTAAATTTTATTTATTTTGTTGTTATTGAGAATATACCCAGCAAAACATATACCAATTCCACAGTTTCTACATGTGCTATTTAGTGACAGTGATTACAGTCTTGGAGTTGTGCAACCATTCTCACCTTCCTTTTCTGAGTTGTCCCTCCCTCATTAACATATGCTCAGTGTCCCCTAAACTTCCTATCTAATCTTGAGTTGCTGTTGTCAGTTGGAGCCCATATAGATAAGACCATAATGCTCAAGGCAGACCCTTTTTTGACTAGTTAAGCTAATTTATTGCTTAGTCTTAAGAGGACTTCCAGGGGATATTTTTGGTTTAAGTTAAAGACTCTCTCAGGGCAATAGTCTCAGGGGTTCATCCACCCTCCATGGCTCCAGGAAGTCTATAGTGTATGAGATTTTGAAATTCTGTTCTGCAGTTTCCCCCTTTTGATCAGGATTCTTCTGTGGAATCTTTGATCAAAATGGTCAGTAAAGGTGGCTGGATACTGTCCAGTTCTTGTGGTCTCATGGAATAGGAGGATATTAGCCACACATTCCATATCCTTCTCCTATCCCTGACTCTCCTATCTCTGTTCCTCCAGGTGGATAGACACTAATTGTTGTGCCTTGGACGGCCACTTGCAAACTTTTAAGACCCAGGTACTACACATTGAACTAGGAGGTAGAACAGAAGCACTAAACATGTTCTTAGCCCAGTTAACTGGGATATCCCATGAAACTATGACCCTAAACCTCCAAACCAAGGAACCAAATCTGTTGAGGTGTTTGGTTATATATAAAAGAAATCAGTTGTCAGTCAGTTCCGACTCATGGCGACCCCATGTGTGCGAGGTCTAACTGTGGTCCACATGGCTTTGAGAAGCAGATCACCAGACCTTTCTTGCAAGCCTCTCTGGGTGGGTTTAAACTGCCAGCTTTTGGGTAGTCAAGCAGTTAATCAGTTGTGCCACCCAGGGACTACTGGTCCTATTAGAACTACTGAAAAATACAGACTCAAAGTGGTTTTGTCTATTACATGACCTTATTTGAAGGCAGTCTGCTATAGAATATCTTCTGACTTTCTGACATATTTATCAATCTCTTTGTACATACTTATCCTTTATCCTTTGGCCGGGTACCGGAGTATGACACCACCTGCCTTTAAAAATGGGTGGTGGTGGGCTCCCAATCATTTTAGGATTTAACCTTGTTTTAAGGAATGAACCTGTGGCTCAGTTACTAATTGCTTTTAATCTGATTTATGTTTCACATAGTACCATCTGCCATATGTTTTTGCTGAGGTGGGAAAGAGGCAATGCTTGTTTATACACCATTTCCCCCTCACAGAATAAAGATGGGCTAGAATATCAGAAAACTTGCTTTTTCTTTCCCCTGTTCCTTCTGTGGGAGGTCTGGTGGTGTAGTGCCTAAGGCATTTGACTTCTAACCAGAAGGCTGGAGGTTCAAACCCACCAGCCACTCCTCGGAAGGAAGGTTGGGCAATCTACCTCCGTAGTGATACAGCCTTGGAAACCCAAGAAGGGCTTGCTGTCAGTCGGATCTGACTCGAAGGCAGTGAGTTTGGTTTTATATATATGTTGTTGTTGTTGTGTGCTGTTGTGTTGTCCCCGACTCATAGCGACCCCTCCTTGGGTTGCTGAGGCAGTATCACTATGGAAGTGGATTGCCCAACCTTCCTTCCGAGGAGTGGCTGGTGGGTTTGAACCACCAGCCTTCTGGTGAGCAGTCAAGTGCCTTAGGCACTATGCTACCAGAACGCCTTTTATATGTGTGTGTGTATATGTATGTATGTATGTGTGTGTGTATATATATATGTATGTATACATATATGTGTGTATATATATACATGTATGTGTGTATATATATGTGTGTGTGTGTATATACATATATGTATGTGTGTGTGTGTATGTGTGTGTATATATCTATATATATAGGAGCTCTGGTGGCGTAGTGCCTAAGACATTTGACTGCTAAGCTGAAGGTTGGCAGTTCGAACCCACCAGTCACTCCATGGAAGGAAGATGGGGCAATCTACTTCCATAAAGATTTACTACCTTGGAAACCCAGTGGGGGTTGCTATGAGTCGGAACCGATTTGATGTTAGTGAGTTTATTCCTATACCTTTTATTTCTCAACATCATATTTGGAAATTTTTCAAATCTATTGAAAAGTTTTAAGAGTAGTACAACAAACACCTGTCTGTCTTTCACCTAAATTCACCAATTGTGAACTTGCTACTTTTTATCTGTATGTTTACATTTTACATACATATGTATATATTTTAAACAGTTTCCATTGAGTTGCTTCTGACTCCGGCAACCTCCTGTGTCAGAGTAGAGCTGTGCTTCATAGGGTTTTCAATGGCTGATTTTTAGGAAGTAGATGGCCAGGCTTTTCTTCTGAGGCATCTCTGGGTGGACTCCAACCTCCAACCTCCAATCCTTAGGTTAGCAGCTGAATGCCTTAACCATTTGTACCACCCATGGGCACCATAGATATATATTTTTTAAAAACCCAAAAACTCATGACCATTGAGTCAATTCGAACTCATAGTGACCTCCATTGGGTTTCTAAGACTGTAAATCTTTATGAGAGCAGACTGCCTCATCTTCCACAGAGCTGCTGGTGAGTTCAAACTACCAACCTTCTGGTTAGCAGCCAAATGCCTTAACTACTACACCACCAGAGCTCATTATAGATATGTATGTTGTTGTTGTTATGTGCCGTTGAGTCAAACCCGACTCATAGCGACCCCTCCTTGGGTTTCCAAGGCAATATCACCACAGAAGTAGATTGCCCCATCTTCCTTCCAAGGAGTGGCTGGTGGGTTTGAACCGCCAGCCTTCTGGTTAGCAGTCAAATGCCTTAGCCACTATGCTACCAGAGCTCCCATAGATATGTATAGGTATGTATATAGAGAGAGAGGGTGGATCCTAAACCACTTGAAATATGACAGACATCATAACACTTCATCCACTAATATTTCAACAAGTGTCACGTAAGAACAGAGATGTTCTCCAACATAAACACAATACCATTCCTATTCTCAAGAAATTTAGTACTGGTTGTTGTTGTTGTTGTTATGTGCCGTCGAGTCAAACCCGACTCATAGTGACCCCTCCTTGGGTTTCCGAGGCAATATCACCACGGAAGTAGGATTGCCCAACCTTCCTTCCGAGGAGTGGCTGGAGTGGCTGGTGGGTTTGAACCGCCAGCCGTCTGGTTAGCAGGCAAGTGTCTTAGCCACTATGCTACCAGAGCTCCCCTTTAGTACTGGTAGCATACTGTTATCTAATAACCCCACCTCCACCCCAGTACTTTGCCAGGATGTTAGCAGACTATAAACCTTGCAACTATCTCATCCATATCTATTACTGTTGTCCAGTTCATTTCAATTACATATGTTGCCTTTTGCCATAATAATAGTTATTACTGTTTGTTTATTGGGAGCTCTGGTAGCATAGTGCCTAAGGTATTTGACTGCTAACCAGAAGGCTGGCAGTTCAAACTGACCAGCCACTCCTTGGAAGGAAGATGGGGCAATGTACTTCTGTAGTGATACTGCCTTGGGAACCCAAGGAGGGGTTGCTATGAGTCGGGTCTGACTCAATGGCACATAACAATAACAACAATTTGTTTATTTATTTATTTGTATACTTCACCTCCTTTCAGAAATTATTGGAGGTCCCTAATAGTTATCACCTATGTCTGCATTTGGCAATGAGGAACAGATGGCTTAGGTACTAA